CCTTGAGGAAGGAGTTTGTGAAGTACTCTGCAACAACATAAGAGCCAAATCGCGAAGGAAAAACTCGTTGGAGATATTGAATAAAGCTCGCCGGAAAATGCAGGAAGATGACAGAAGAGACCCGAGAAGACAACAACGGAGAATAAAAGTAAGATATGTTAAAGGAAGACAAGAATTGAGAGGATTAGGGTTTTAAAGAGAAGAAATGGAGGCGACATAGAATTCGAAAGGTTAAGGCAAAAGTGGCGCAGCAGATCTCGGAGTCTGGGTCTTCATGCCAGCCGTTCGATTCCCTATGTCATCACTCCGAGTCGTCAAACAAAGATTGTGTCTTTTCAATAATCTCACCCTAATTAATTAAGGGAGAGATTATGGGGGGAGATAAAGACACCAAAAGTGACCCGAGCTTGGTATGATTCATATGGCCAATAACGGGTCAGGTATGGGCAACCGAGATGGAGCAAGTCCTCGCTGAATGGGTTCAGGTCCAGGAAGTCATTAAGGAAGCCCAAATTGTGATGAAAGGAGTTGGGCCCGAACAAAAGGAAAGAAGGTAGGTCCAGCCCAGGAGTGATTGTAACCGTCTATAAATAGACGGGGAATGAGAGGGAAAAGTGGGTAGAAAATTTTTTGGAGGTGTAAAGTTTCTCTCTCTAGAATTGGGAAAAATTCTTTGTACTTTTAGAATGGTTTCATTTAAAATTGGCCCCTCACTGGTTAATTGAAGAAGTTGAGAAGGATGGATTAGATAGTTTGTAACTTTTAAAGATTATTTGCACAAAGTGGTAAGTCTTGAGAACTGATTGAACTATTTTGAAGTATCAAGTTAAGTTGTAGTTTATTAAATGATATAATGTGGTTTGTAAGTGATTGTGAATATTTGGAATTTACGAGTCCAAAATCGAGTTTTATGATTGATCACTTGATCAAGCAATACTGTTAGTTTTGTTAAATTCTAGAAAGAATAAAAGATTCTGGTGCTCTAATTTGGAGTTATCAATTACATGTATCATAATAATGGGAATGTGCATCATGTCTCTTTGTAAGCTACTGAATATTCTGTTTTGACAACTTAAATTTCAAGATCACTTGTGAAATAAAGAAGAGTTAGAAATTTCATTATGTTATTAACTCATTTGCATTCTTAATATTTCTTATCTTATAAAATTTTAATTTTTTCAATGTTCCATTTCGCAAAAAGAAAAATGTATTCTAGAAATGTGAAAAAATTTAACTATTGATATCCGTATGATAATATTTGATGAGATTAAAGAAAATCCATCCAAACTAAAGAAAATCCAGCTATCAGATTTAAAAAACAATTAAATAAAATTTTAAAAGCTAATAAAAATATTTTGGACCTTGAAATCTAGATAGCCCATAACAAAACTTAAGCGAAAAAATACCTTCGGCCCAGAAAATATTTTGAATCATATATTTGGCAGAGGCTGCGCGAACGCAGGCCCCCATTACCACAAATTATGACGTAGGCTCCACCACTTGGATAGACCTTAGGCGAGCACCCCTCCTAAGTGCAATGGAGGTCACCAACCTAGACCATGGGCCTTCTTGATCATCCATTGATTCCGTCCAGGTAAGTATGTTGCTCCATTGGCCTTCCATGCATTATATAGTAGTTCGTCTCACTTTTGTAAGTTTTCGATGTGGGACAAAAAATGCATTTCACTAACCCCAGCGCAAAAGAACTCGCTTGCTTCTCTCTCCGTATTGATGTTATGGTTAATCAATCACCTCATGCTGGTGATTATAAGTTTATAACCACGAGATGTCATAATGAAGATTGAAGAAGATGATAGAGAAAAATAGTTAGACAAGAGCTGCTTAGGCCAATGGATTGATAAATCCTTCATACAAATTCTCACTTAGATGAGAGATCAAAATTAATCCTCATTACACAAAATTCTAAAAATGATAATCCAAGGTTCAGTACTCTTTCTTTTTAATTAAATTCTAGGAAAAAAGAAAAGAATAAACGATTATTGTGCTAAATAAGATGTTATCTAAAGGAACCATGTTTTCATACTGTTTTACTTTTAGTCCACATATTAAATCCTGACTTTTTCTTGAAGTAGATTTTGATCGAATGCTATAACTTGTAGGGTAATTCGCTTTCTTTTATCGCTGGTTTCTAAATCTACTTCAAGAAAGACTTACCAACTAGTTTGTGGCGACCTTGTGGGCGGGTGTATGTGAGCGTGTGCAGGTGGCACCAGTAGGCTATCACACTGGACGAACTACAGGTGCACAATAGATTCAACACCTTCTATGACACAACGCATTTTAAAGCCGTGATGGCCTTGAATCCACTAGAACTTCGGAGTTAAGCGTGCTTAGCCTGGAGTAGTACCAGGATGGGTGACCCACTGGGAAGTCTCTGGTCCAGGGGAGCTAAAAGTGGACAATATTGTGTCTAGATAGGGTGAGGGTCGTTACAAATAGTATCAGAACCTAACCCAGCTGAAAGTGTGGCCAACGAGGACATTGGGCCTCAAAGGAGGGGGGTGATTGTGGCGACCTTGTGGGTGTGTGTGAGCATGCGCAGGTGGCACCAGTAGGCTACCTCACTAGGCGAACTACATGTGCACAATGCCACATCACCTGAGAATGGATGGGGCAAATGCTATATGTAAATTCAACACCCTTCTATGACAGAACATGTTTTAAAGCCGTAAACCTACCAGAACTCCGGAGTTAAGTGTGCTTAACCTGGAGTAGTATGAGGATGGGTGACCCCCTGGGAAGTTTTTGGTCTGAGTGAGTCAAAAGCGAACAATATTATATTTAAACAGGATGAGGGTGTACATAGTTTGACCTCGTAGTGTTGTTTAAAAGGGTCTTTCAAAATATTTAATATCTCAATGTGAATGAAACTTGAGTTGAGTTCAAATTTTGTCTGTGTGTGTGTGTCTATATATATAGATACACATATGGATTAACAGGGAACGGTGGTGTACACAACTAGAAGCTCCCTTGTACTCATGATTTGCTCCATTGTTACACAAAATTTTCTTAGTTTATTCATGTTATAGAGGTAAAATAAGTAATTTTTTTTTTTTTTATTAGTAAGAAACATACACGCATAACTCACATATTCACTTTCCCCATTTAAAAACTCGAACCCTCACTATTTAATTTAAAAAGTAAATGAAATATCAGTAGTTAGTAAAGTTCTTAATAAATAAAATAAGTACCAAAACAAGAACAATTGAACTAAGTCTAACTTGAGGAATTGAGATCCTCTATGCTATGATGCACCATAACCGAGCTCATAACTCAATACAATTTGATAAGACTAACACATTTTGATTGTGATTTGGACAACACCATGTCATATGTTCCCAGTCCAACGGGATCACATTGAATTTATTGGATTGAGAGTTTCGAACCGAATCCACTTGATTTGTTGCCATATTTTATGGTATATGAATTGAAGTTAAAGTGCAACTGATTTTTTTATGGCATATGAATTGAAGTTAAAAGTGCAACTGATATTGATTGGAAATTTTAAAATTATGACAGTGAGAAAAGGAGATATCCAAAATAAAAAGCCAAAGAGACCTTTGATGATTGGAGAATAAAGCAATCGGGACTATCTTTCTTTAACTTTTCCTTTTTACCAAACACTCTGATTTTACACTTTAGGACCAAACTCTATTATACACTATCTTTCCTTACCCTTCCATTCTACTCCAAGCCCGGGAAACTCATATATTTACATTTACAACACGAGCACTTTTCCTTAAAAACTCCTACAACAAAAACAGAAAAGACAATCCTATCCAACTTTAAGATACTACAATATTATAATCCGAAAATATCACGGCGCAAGTTAGTCCCCACGGCGTTCCCTACGCACTATACCTCATAGAGTAAGTAGGAACTGGGCAGTCCACCATGGGTGCACAATAGACTCTGGGGTGATCACTCTCCAAACCATAGTCCATCATCGGACGGTACTGCAACTCTTCATCATGATCATGAACGAAATCAGGTATCTGGATCTCGTTCCTCCTCACGTGGTCCCACAGAAACTCCAACCTGGTCACGTATTTGAGCTTTCCGTACAACCAGTAAACATTTAACACCCTCCACCACGTCAATAATGTGCGCCGCTGGTCACTCACACCAGCCTTCGAGTCAAAAACGTGAAATACGCACACTGATTCAATTTTATTCTGTTTGTCTCTGTGATTCCTACCACCTCTCTCTCTCTCTCTCTCTCTCTCTCTCTCTCTCTTTCCCCACAATCCATGCATTTAAATTCTTCATATGTTTATGCATGTAAAACAAAAAAGATGTAATTTACTTTACAAAGCACCCAAAGGTGTATACTTTCTGTTAGCTTTCAAATTTGTGATGGTCATGGCTGAGACTGTTGTCTTTAACAATCAGTAAAGGACGTGACAATCACCAACAGGGAGGAGTGTCATGCAAATTGTTAGCTTTGTTGTATATGTGAATTTTCCATATATACATATTATTCTCCTCGCACGGATATAGAATCTGTGACCTTAGGCACAACTGGATGCAATTGGTCCACAAACTGTGATAGCTAGATATCTTTTATTTTTATGTATCTGATAGCTAGAAATCTTCATTACCAGAAAGTATGTAAGATATGTGCGAGATTTTTTTGTTGAGTCTGATAGCTAGAGATCTTCATGACTAGAAAGTATGTAAGATATCTGCAAGAACTTCCCTTATGGTTAGCTCCTTATTTCAGTGCTTCATATCATGAAATTGTTCTCCGAGTTTGGCTATCAACTGATTGATGCCTTCCTCGCACTACAACAAAAGTGACTTTTAGTGACGATATTTTAGCTACAAAATTTCTTTCGTCCCTAAAAGTAGACTTTCAGGGATGAAATTCAAGCTTGTGACTATTTATGTATCTTTTTTGTGACGAATTAGATAATATGTCACCAATTGGTGATAGGAAGGTCTATTTTTATACTTATTTGTGACTAAAATCTCCCTAGGTAAAAAAACCAATTCGTTTTTCCCCAACTATCTCCCCTCACTTTTCCTACTATGGCACTATTCTCTGTTCTAATTTCAATCAAACTCTATCATCCCGTCATTCGCTCTCATAGTATCTGCATCACCTTTTTTTATTTTATTTTTCCCCACTCAAACCCTAGCTTTCTCTCAATAAACAATTTATTATCCTAGAGTCTCCTCGTCACCAATCGGCTGCTCTTAAAGAGATAGAGAGAGTAGAACACTAGGTCGCCAATCGATTACCCTCAAATCTTATAAATTCCACAATCTTTTTATGGAATCCCACTCAACTACTCCCTTCATATTCTCTTCTCAATATTTATTTTCTTGTATTAATTTTTCGATCTTGATTGCCTTCAATCTCTATCTAATATATGTTGAGAGAATTGCAGAACTGAAATTCTACATGTCATTGGGTCCAACCATCATTTCATAACAGCCCAGGTTTGAAAGTCCCCAAATAATCTTTTCAAAAGTTCTATTTTTTATATATTTATTTATTTTTATATAGTACGATATTCACATAGATAGAGTGATTATTACTGTAATTTTTTTTCAGTAAGTAAATAAATATAGTGATTATCTTGAAATTGGTTGTTCAGGTTTTTTTTTCTTCTGATTTCATACCTTATTAGAGGCGATCAATAATTCTTGGCCGTGGTTTGATCACAAGTTCTTAGCCCTTAAATCACTTCAGAAATTCCTCAAATATCTGTCAGTTATAATCTTCAAACTAAACATATTACTGTGGGACTTTACATGCTAGGGTTTTTTTTTTTTAATTAGCTTTTAAACTCGTAATTTGGGCATCACATACCATTCAATTTTTTTTTTTTTTTGTTAAATAATCAGCCTTCACAATGAAATCCTATTGTTTTCAGTTTGGTATTCAGTATCAAGAATGATTAACGAGAAATCTCAATGTAGCAATCTTGTAAGGTCAAATTACTTTTTTATTTTTTTTTTTTCTAATAAGGCAGATTAATTAGAGTTTTGCCCACAATTGCATGTGATTTTCTGAATGAGATTCACATAATGATTAGTTCTAGTGCCATGCAGTGACCGTACGTGTGCAGTTTTGTGCTCAAGATAACTTAAGTTATTGGTTATGCACTTAATAGGCTTGTATCTTGTCTGATGTGCCTATTTGTGTGGTGAACTGAGTAGGCTTTTTTCACTCATATTTTACTACTTTTATCTCTAGATTTCATATTAATTTTAGTCCAATCACACAATTATTTTGATATGCATAGCTTCTTCTTCTTTTTCTTCTTCTTCTTCGTTATTTATTTATTTTTTCTATTTTTTATTTCCAGCTAAAATGATGATTCTTTGCAAAGTTGGCTATGTTAGACTTGGTTTCCGAAACACAGGCAAGTAAAGTTTTTCAAATTCTTTTTATTTTATTTTATTTTTTGTCATTAATATGTTCTTTATGCAATTTGTATGTATAAATTTGATAACTAACGTCTTTGCAATCAGTGCAGGCTTCCCTCTGTTAGCTCTGCTTTGTCTACCTTGCTCATGATTACCTTTGTAAGTGACTCAAACAACATTCAGGTGTTATTGTTCACAGTCTATCTTCCACACTTTTATTCTTCATCTTGGGAATAGTTTTAATTGATAAAGAAGCTTGTTGTTGCAGTGTTTTATGTATGTCTTTATGAGAAGATTTATTTTTTTTCCTTACCCAAGATTTAATACTTTCCAACATAAGTTCTATGGTACTGAGAAATCCCATTCAGGAATGCTTTTTATTTATTTAGTTTCAATAACTATGTTCTTGTTAATGTTTATTGCTACTTTCTTTTTCTAACTTCTATATTAGTACTTTTATTCAAAATTAGGTTATGGTGTCAATGTATATACATATATATTCTTTACTACTCTCTTTTTTATCTTATTGCACGTGAAATATCCTTTCTCTTATTCTAGTTTCTTGTTTGCTTTGCAGAAATAGTAATTGAGTTGTCTGAGAGAACTAAAGGTCAGATGTTCAATGTGGGTAGCTCTTACAATGAGGTCTTAGTCAAAGCTGAAAGTAAATAATTCAATGTAGTTTTATTATTTTATCCTTTTTTTATGTTGATAATGTGCATTGCTTGGAGGAATTAATTTTAATCAAGTTTATGATTAGGAGAATATTATTTAAATTTTATAGTTTGACTTTCATAGAGCCCTATTGTTCCATTACAGAACTTTTTCCTGTGTTTTGTTGCAGCTACTGGAGTGGAGTGGCTCTTGCTAGAATATTTCTGTATTCAAGGGTGAAGTGCATAAAACTAAATCACTCTTTGTTTTTTTGTTTTATTGTTTTGCCTTTGTTGGATCAACTTAAGCCACTACTACATCACTCTTGTTTTATTTCCTTCTTGGCCCTTTGCTAAGTTGTGTATTTTCATTTTTGTTGCAGCTGCTAGAGTGGCTTCGTGCGGAATTACTATATTCAAAGGCGAAGTACAAAAAGCCACAAACATAGTTTGAAGAATTTTAAGATTCTAGAAGACTAGTGATAAGGGAACTTTGGGCGTTCCTCCATAGAGGGAGAGTTGGGAGAGAGTTGGGAGTTTGCTTTTATGTTTTAGTTTGGTCTTTTGTATTATACAATTGGAAATTTGGTTATTCAAATTTATGTTAATTTTGTATTTGAACTCAGAATTTTTATGTATTTCATAATAAAATTTAATGTTATGTTTAAATTTGTGTTCCTATATAAAGTTTGAAATGTGTAGACCTGTGTTTCTATTTGAATTTTTTTTAATATTAGCAAAAACAAGCAAGCAAAATTGGTTTTTAGCAACGAAAGACATTTGTCATTGGGTGAGTTAGTGACGAAAACTTTCGTTGCTAAATGGAAAACAGATGTGATGAAAAATATGGTTGCTAAAAGATATGCAATAGTAACGAAAATGTTTGTTGCATTTTCGTCACTAAAAGGCAAGCAGACGCAAATTTTTTAGTCACTAAAAGTAGAGACAATAGTGACGAAATTCTCATTCGTCACTATAGATTAATCGAGACGGTTATATAGCAACGAAACATTGACGAATGATTTTTCGTCACTAAAAACTTTTAGCAACGAAAATTTAGCTTTTTGTGACGAAAAAAAACGTTGCTAAAGGTCACTTTTGTTGTAGTGTCGTAAGGAGGTGGCCGGCTTTCAAATCTGTAAATATGATTGGTTAATGCAGAAACTTGTAAGTTGTTTAATTGCTTCAAACTTGTTCTCCTCTGCTCCCTGGTTGCTTTAAATAAGGATATTGTGTTGTTTAAGAATGATACAACTGGTATAGTGCTCAGTAGTGTCTTCTTCTTTTTAGAGAAAGACCATGTTTGAAGTTTGAACCTTGGTTTGGTCCAAGCTTGAGCTGAACTTGAGCCCTTCTACCAAAAATTGCACCTCTAGATAGAATTTGATTGTTGTCCTTACGGTCTTGAAGTCAGGTCTTACTCCCCTTCTGCCCTAGGAAAGGTGTAATGTTCAGAGTCTCCTTGTAGAAGGACATTGATTGATTCGGGGAAGGGTTGTGGAAAGGAAAGAGCTACCTTCCATTGTGTGGCCAACATAATGAGACCCAAAACTTTGAAGACTGCGTGTTCCTCGCTCTACAACTCTAGTACATGATGCCGAAATTGGGTTGAAGTTGATAAAGTCAAGCTTATGCAACCAGGCCAAAAACTAGCCAACTTAGCTCCTTGAAGTTTAGCACTAGCGAAAGCAAATGTAAAAGAAACTAGAAACGGTGGAGGATTTATGGTCCAACTTAAAAGGTCATTTGGTTCGATGGTAGAAACTTGGGATTAGATCTATCTAGAGTCTTATGTAGGTGAGACCAACCTTAGATGATGGTCTTATCTAAATTAGAAGGCATGTTATATAACCTTTTCAAAACTTTGAAAAGAGAAAATAGGTAAAGTGTCCCATGTCCGACACACATTTTTTTTTTTTTTTTTGAAAGTTAAATTTCAGGATATATATATATATATATATATATATATATATATATATATATATATGTGTGTGAACCAACTAATGTACAAGAGGGTGAGTTAGCCCAATGCTAACCAAAACAGTACAAGCCCAAGGATCAGCTTAACCCAGAAGCCCAATCTACAACATGCCCACCCAATAATACAAAAATAGACCGTTGGAGGGCTCCAGCACTCTGCAGTGTAGATCATGGATAAGATCTCCTCAATCTCTTCCTCTGTGGTCTGGCGGCTTCGTCGGTGGTCTTATGGTTGGAGATGGAAGTTCCCATTCGTCGGCTATTCTTCTAGCATTCATAGAGTCCGCGATCATCGCTGAATGCAACTTCTGTCTTACTGTTTCCAAGGTTTGATGAAGCACTGAGTTTGCATGGAGGTATTTTTTCTTGAAGATTCTCATGTTGCGTTCATTCCATATGTTGTAAATGAGTGAGGCCAATCCCAATTTAGAAACTGTATTGCTGTAGAATCCTGGATTTCTTCTCCAATGATATGATGCCCAAGCAATTAGGTTCGACCATGAGGAAGGTAGAATATGGAACCCACATCTTATTTGTAAAAATGTCCACAAGGGTTTGACAAAGCTGCAGGTGGTCGTGGGATTCCAATTCATCACTACAGAGGAAACATATTGTAGCATTGAAGTGAGCAGTGCATCTTCTATTCAAAATTGGGAGTCGATGTTGTAGAGCAACCCATAATGTGAAGGAATGTTTGGGAATCGATAGTTTAGTCCAAACCAAATTGTACCCATGGGAGGGTGGGTAGAGATGGTGGTTGAGGTGTTTCATTGTTTGGGCAATTAAGAATGCCCCTGCAGGTGATGGACACCAAATAAGTATGGAATATGTGTCCGATACTTTTAGTTGGATAATATTATTGCTTTGAAATGAGTGAAATGGCAATAATGAAAACTATGGTACATAAACATAATTAAGTTTTATGCTTAGTTGTGTTCATATCTCTCTTTGTTTGGAGATTTGGCACGTCCGACACACTGATGCATACCCGAATCCGACATACGTACTCGAGTCAATGTAAAGATAGATTTACGCAACCCAAAATATTGCATTCCAATCCCCTTTCACACACGAGCCTTACAAGTGTAACTGTGTAAGAGAGATGTTTATGGTTGTTGTAAGGAAGTTTATTGGTCAAGGGGGACAGACATTTCTATTTTTCCACTTTTGTGTTCAAAAAATCACAAGGAGTACTCGAAAAATAAGTTAGAACTTGTAGGTTAATTAGCTTTCTTCCCTCTTTATTTTCTAAATTTTGCTGTGCAAGCTTATAGATACATTTGTGGTTGACTTGAAGTTAAGTTTGGATTTATTTATTTATTTTTAAGCTTGGCTTGAAAAATTCATTTTTTTTAATGAGCAAGTGTATATTGTATCATGGCAATGGGAATGTGCATCATGTCTTGAACTGACCTTTATAAGCTACTAAATAGTCTGAGTGTATACAACTTAAATTTAGATTAAGATAACTTATGAAATAAAATGAGTCAAACTTGAGTTCATTTTAACTATCACTAAATCTTTGAATGGAAATTTATTATTTTTATTAACTCATTTGTATTCTTAATATTTATTCTTTCTCTCACTCTCTCTCTCTCTCTCTCACACACACACACACAAGACCATAGGCTTGAATTATGAGTTCCTTTTGATGTGTTTAAGAAATTATAATTTTTTCAATGATCAATAAGAATTATTAAGAACAATTTCCCAAAATGTATATATATATATTCTAGAAATTTTATAAATGTCAAATAAAATGTAGCTTGATCTTCATGTAAGATCGCTGCACCAGTGCTTTGAACACTGCTAAATGTCATCAGTGTTTAAAAAGTAGCTTGATCTTCATGTAAGATTGCTTGAAGTCAAAGCTGGCTTTCGCAGACATTCATGTCGAGAGCATATGGTATTCAATATGGATCTCCTTGAACATTTCGAGCAGCTGCTGTAGCAAGAGATCTCTCCTTGCCCACCTCTCATCCATGTCCTGAAAATTCATTCTATGCGAAATCCAAATTGACCATTTCAACCTGTTCATGTCCACTATATCTCTCATGATTATCAGTGGAGCAGGGTTCCAGTGGTCGGGGTTGTCTTCAATACACCTGTAAATGCACCAGCCATAACAAACAATAAATTAGACAAACTAGAATTACTTGAGCAAACTTTGTCTGATTAACACAGAGAAGAGACTTAAAAGCCCATTCATGGGAATTATTATTATTATTATTATTTTCATTATATATATGTAAGCCAGACTGGCCTTGCCTTGCCACATGGGAGACATGAAGAAAAACAGTATGTTGTGAACAAGCCTGACTCTTGATGTTTAATTATAGTCTGGTAGGGATGATTTAGGCTAAATTCAAAGCAAGAGCAAAATTAACTTGATAAGATCGTTGAGTTGCACAAATTGAAGACAGAAGGAAGAAGTTATTGAGAAAGGAGATACATCTCCATACATACCGCATTATTTTCTCTTTCATCATAGCAATCTTTTCCATGGGAAATGAGATGTGGGTGCAGAAATTAATTGCATCTCCCATATTTGGACTACCGTTGTAATTACTGATAGGTTTGGTAGCTAGGAAACTATTTTGATATGTGATCTTTTCTTTACTGTCCTTCAGAAAGACAGTTGTTAATATATTCATCTCTTCAACTACCCTCTAAGAGCAAAAGAAACAGAAGTTAGAAACTCAAAAAAATCCAATAGAAATCACAACTTTATGTAAGATATCATTTACTTGTTCTCCTTCCACTTCACAACGATCGCCTACATCAAATGGGTGCATTACAAATATGAAGATGATTGCCTCAAATGTCGTCTTGCATATGTCTCCAAACATAAACGCCGCTAAAAGAAGTAGTGAGCTTAAAAAGATCAAGAAAGTGGACTTTTCGACTACTTCAAGTATAAGAAGGCAGATGACCAATATGATGATCCCTACAACGACGTTCAACATATGATGGACTCTCTTTACAGCCGTCTTTATATCATTGAGAGAATGCAAGGGCTCTCCTTTCTCTGAATGCATTAACCTGGAAAAAAGGGTTTGAAACAGTTTCATATTTATCAGAGGTTAACATATGTAAAAGCATTCCTATCTTAAAATCAACTCGAACTACAGATTTTTCTACCGTAAGCCAGCTCAGCTAAATCAAGTTTGGTTGCTTGACACCACCAAGAGCTTAGCTCTACTTCCCAATGTGGATTTGGGTGTAAAAAAAAAAAAAAAAAGGGTCTAATTGGATTGGGGGTAAAGATCATGGCACTATATTAGGATTGTTGTATATTAATAATTTTACTTTGGACTACAACGTGAGATGGGGCACCATCAGTAAATAGTAAAATGATCTGATCAAAACATTCTGGATGGGAATGCGAAAAAGACAGATTTTCCCAGCTTGACTTGGGCTTGTTAGTTGGTTCAACTAAAAATCACTAGAATTGTTACTGTATATTCTAAAGAAATTATGGGTTTATAAAAAAGCTCCCATTTTGTTATTCATAAAAAGAAAAATAAATAACAATGTCATCTTTTTTTTTCAGGGCATTTCACTAAAATAATTGTTTCTGAAGGGAACTTGCAACGTGTCATGATGAGACGGTCTAATTTTGGTTGCTCACAACTTTAACGGTGACAA